TTTCAGAGAAAAATGCTAGGCTACAGAAGTGACATAAGCAAGGGGGAAAACACCTGTCAGAACATGAGGTTGTCTAGAAACATCCAGAAAATCCACACCAACAAGTGGGAAAAAAAAATATTTTTCACTGGACACTGAAAACGACAAGAAGCAGAACTGAGAACATTTCTATACACAGGGTTCACCAGAGGGGAACAGAGTCAGTCAGCTCACTTCATTAACCAGTGTTTGCATTCCTAGCTCATTTTAGTAAATGTTAAAAGTATTGATCGATACTGCAAAGACATCACAAGGACATAATTACAGATAGCCAACAGGTGTGCCTGTTCATCTTCCCATATCTAAAGGCAAAGCAATTAGAACAAGGAAAGTGAAATGGTTACATGAAAATACTCAAAGCTATAAATGCTGACAATTTAAGTTAAAAAAATACATTCATGCTTATATGTAGAAAAAAAAAAACAAACAAACCCAAAGTTGCAGTTCTACAACTAGAATGGAAATCATCACTGCTACGTAACTGAAGTTATTTAAGAGACCATGAGACATAAGCTGTATCATTAAAACTTCTAGCATATGGACAATGAACACAGTTCACCCTGCCAGAGAAGCTCTAAATCACACTCTGCTAGTCCACTGTGTTGGTCTGGTTTAGATAGCCCTAAACTGCTGAGACCTCAACATAAGGTATCTTCACCTTGTCAGGGAAACAAAGCTCAGTATCAGAAAACAGAACAGTAAAAACAAACCTTTTCATTCATCATGACTGATCTCAACTTGAACATGAGAGTCTTCAAGACCTGGATGCATCTATAACAAGATTTATGAACCTATAAGGTACAGACCTGAATCATCGGTTTCACATGGTAGGAGGCAAAACCAAGTCATGTTTCACTAGCCACAAATACATGTTTTTTCCTGATACAGAAACCTCAGAGAACAGGGTAGCTGGAATTCAGGTTATTTTAAGGCTTTTTTTTTTTAAATCCTTATGGACTTTACCCCCAAAAGTTTGTTACACATGTTCTCAGTATCTTCTTACTAATGCTTTGCAATCCTTAGATTTGAAAACACAGGAGAGTACATCTCTCTTTCAGAGTAAACACAATACAGCAGTAGATGTTTGGTTAGACTGGGCAGGAACTTACTGTCACATCCTCTTAACTAAAAAGCAAACAACATTTGTATTCTCACTTTTGAAGCCTATGAGTCACTCATACTTTACTATCAAAGCATCTTTCACTTCATTTACTTCCTCTGGTTTGATGGAAATACAGAAAAAACAGCAAAAATGCACACATCCATTTTAAGTGTATTGTAACAAATCAGCTGGATCTTTCTCTGTTTCAGTCTGCTTTCTAGGAAAGAGACAACAGACCCATCCAGCCTTCAGCATTTGATGCAGTACCACACAAGGCGTCAAACTAGAAAAGACTGGAATTATCAGGATAACTGAAGTCCACAGTGAAATAGATAAAAATGGGTTGCAATGAAAAAGTGACTACCAATTAGGAGGACGTTGCTAATGGCATTTAATTATCAGCTAAGAAACCAATCTTATTTTATATTCTTTCTAATGACCTTAGCACAAGAAATAATTGAACAAAATACCAATAAGAATCCTAAAGTCAAATCTAGGAAATATACTGATCATCTTCTACATAGATACCATACAGGAAAACCTGAATGACTGTGGAATAGAAATGGGATTAAACTTCCTCACAAAGTTACATGACTAGCATAACACAGTAAAAAGCTCTTGTTAGTCTCTGAAGCAGGATTTCAGCCATACAAAACAGTGACAGAAGGACCCGAGTGCATCGGCCAACTACAAGGTATCATCAGTCACTAGTCTGATGCAACCACTAGAAATCATGGTCCTAGGATACAGTAATTTAGCATTCGGCAATAGAAAAGGGTACATGACTGCCATGGCAAAGAGCACAATACTTCACCTTTTATTCACCTGAGCAGGCAGTTCAAACTGGAGTAGGTACAAAAACAGGCTATTAAAAAAATCAGGATATGAAGTGCTTCTCTCAGAATGCATAGCAACAGCTTTTGGTTCTCTTCCTTACCAAAAAAAACCCAAGTTTGAACAAGGGCCACATTACCTTCTATAAATTGTTTATTCCCTCCTTGACCAAAAAGAGAAGTGACTGAGCTCATCATTTTCTGCAGAAGGCTAGAAGAGAGAGGGGAATAAAGTCCAGGTCTCTCTCTCCCAACGTATGTCAAAAGACACCAGAACTCGTCTGTGTGGCTCGTGTGAAGCGACCGTTAGTGGTGGGGAAATCCCTAGGCCGGTCCCTCATGAGACATTCTATCAGGGAGCAGCCTCCCACATGGCTCCATTCCTTTGGGGAGGAACTGCGGAGAGGCAAGGAAGGGATCTGATGGAGGAATCTCAGGCGACGTGCTGGGTTGAACATTTTCCAAGTTGGACAAGCTGAAGCCTCTCAACACACTGTTGCCTCTGCACAGGCAGAGTGTCTCTGCAAACGCCAGATGTTTCAAGAACAAATTTCCTCTTGGATCAATTTTCTTCCCAAAGGCACAACCTCCCCTACAACGCAGGCTGAACTAGACACTATTACTAGACCAGCTCTTTCACTTCTACCCACAGAGTTTTTAAAATAAATATCCAAGTCAGTCTTCCTGCTGGCAGCTATAAGCCAATAGAGGATAACTCCAGCAGTCTGAAAAACAGTAGAACTATTCTTTGGCAGCCTAGAGAAGGACTATCTTCATTTAATGTTTGGAAAGGTCTTTGCAAACATGCAGGTAGCAGCAGCACTGGCCAAACAGCCAGAAATTGGATCCAGCACTAACTAATCCTCTAATACCACCAGCAAACACAACAGGAAAGATGCTGGCATTCACCAGAAGAAAATTCTCTGTCATTGAAAGAAAACTGGTATTTTTCAATAGACTACTGATCCTAAAATAGAACATGACCAGAAAGGTCTTTGAAAAACACTTTTGTTTTTTAATTAACAAGAGCAGTTATCAGGCAATTTCTGTGTTCTGAAAAACTTCAATATCAGTTCAGCATCCCATAAGCAGATGCGATCTAAGTTACTAGACATCTAATTTTTCCCTGAACAGCAGTAATGGAAATTTTATATTTCATTGCTTTGTTTTACATTTAAAACCATACAACTACTTACGAAGTGTGTTTAAGTTGTACTTAGCTGACAAAGTACATGGGTAATCTACTCTGTTCCTCTTCCACAAGCACTTTGCTTGCAATACCACAGCTCCCAACAACAAGCAACATTATTTAATAAAGTAATGTATTCCTACATACATTATGGCAGAGTCCCTCTTTTACTTCAAGGTTAAAGTGGTTTCTTCCCAGTTACGCTAGCAAACTTATTTAAACTACAGTATAACCAGAATTCCCAATATCCTTCCAGAAAAGCATCATTCTGTTCCACATATTAAATACTAAGACAATTTTTAGCTCTATCTGTGTGTTCATCCCACAGTATGTTATGCTCCTGTCCCTCCTGCAATTTTAAAGTTTTCCATGTTCACTCCATCCCCAAAAACCTACCCTCCCATATGTTTCTTTATAAATTTTCTCCTTTCAAGAATCTAATCTTAAATTGCAGGTCAAAGCCTCCCTTTTCCACTTCAGATTGCAGTTAGGCTCTCTCCCAGAACATGGGAATCAAAAGTCAGCAGACAGCAAGCAAAAACCAGAACTTTCATAGAAGACAGCACACAAGCGTTAGGACCAGCATCCCTCAGACCAAGGTCTGCATGCTGGAGAATAACCCCATCGCTGGGATTATTGAACACTGCTTAAAAGCCATTAAAATTGTTTTTACTGATGATAAGCACATTTAAACATCATCTTAAAAAACAGCCAAATGCAAGGTCATGCATTTGTAAAACACCAGCCCTACTATAGGAAAAGGGAATTATATCATGGAAGGCAATGACATTAAGGACTTTGGGCAGCACTGCAGATACCACGTGAGCATTAATTCCTGACACAAGACTGTAGCAAAAAGAACTAATGGGAGCCTTGGAAAGGAATATCAAGGAGAAAGATGGTGTTATCTTTTTATATAGCATCAGTAAGATCAATAATGGACTGCCACCCTTCTATTCAGGGACCAACACTTCAATACAATGTTGAAAGCCAGAAATGCTGGTAGAAATCACTACAAGCATGAAGACAGACCTGAAAGAAATGCTTTAAAGTCAAGTCTTTTTAACCAGAAGGGTAAAGGGATTACTAAATTATCACCAAAGATTATCAATTAGAAAAGAAACTGGTTCTTTTTAATGTCTAACAAAATAAATATACAGAAAGATACGACAACTAGTTTAGTCAGAAAAACTTTTTTTTTTTTAAAGGTTCACTTCATTTTGGAAAGTAGAGATAACTCATGACATTACTAATTAACAAATAAGGTAACCCTGTCACTTGTTGATAGTGGGTGACTTAAAGACATTTCAGTCAAAAGTTAATAAATTCAGCACAATCAATGATTAGACAAGACTCTACAGCCTGCAATGACTAAGGTGTCCAAGTGCAGTAATCCTAACAGTCCTCCTGACCTCCAACACTGAAGCTAACTTATTGAAAATAGCACACCTAGGCCACATTACAGTCACTCCAAATTTTACTTTCAGTAACTAGAGGAATTTAACAAGCCATAGCTGGACTGCCACACAGCCAAGCCAAGCCTCCCATTTGGGACAGGTTCACATTAGTACAGCAGCGCAAACTGTTGACTGTGAAATGCACCTCCAGCCTCCTTTTGCCAAACCCCAAATTCCTAAAAGCAGAACACGAGGGCAGCAGATGACCCCCTTCCCCCAAACCCACACACGACGGCAGCCCAGCAAGCCTCCAGCATTTCAGAGGTCAGGGGCAGGAGAGGAAGCCCGGCTGCCAAAAAACACACTGCCCACAGGCACCTGACTTACCCAAATCTGCGGGGTGGGGCT